AATATGTTAATGTCATGAGATAAAATACTTGATTATTGTCATCTTCTTCCATTAAGCAAGCGTAGAGAAGCTGCGGACCTAACGTTTTTCCACAACTTAATTCAAGGCAAGATAGACAGCAATGAGCTTCTATCATTGGTTAAAATCCAGGTACCATTCCGTACAGTTGCCAGACGCAATTATCTGCGATTCCATACTGATTTATGTTCGACAAATTATAGACAGAATTCCTACTTTAATAGAGTAACTCAAAATTTCAACAATAATTATTCAAGTGATGTGGACGTGTTTCTGGCGAGACAAAATTATTTCAAAAACATTGTGATTAGTAAATTATTTAATAATAATAATAAAACCTAATTTAAATTATTTTATATGTTTGTCACCATTTTCTCTGTTTCTCTGTGGGTATGGCTTTATGCTGAGTTTTATACTTCTGTATAAGTATATTGTGTTTGATTTGTATTAGTGAAAATTGTTTAAGGCTTATCAACACTACATCAATTCGTTTTATCCTTTATTTTAACATGCCGTTTGTTTTCCATGAATAAATAAATAAAATAAATAAATAAAGCAGAGTTGGTCTTAAATGTCAATATTTGTACTCGACACATCAAATGTAATGCTGAGCTTCAGTACGCTTCACTTTAATATTTGTACTAGTCACTTCAAATGTATTGCCGAGCTTCAGTACGCCTCGCCTCATTTGAAGTGGGACATTTAACTAGCTCACTTTTAAAAAAGGGACTACTCTTACAAACTCTTTTTCAAGTCGCGTCCTACCCAACACTACGTCTAAGCGCTTTAATTTTGCCTGAATTGATCTAATTTAATATAGTCGTTTTAATTAAATATTTAATGAGCAAAACGAATCTTAATGAAATTACATTTCGACAAAAAGAGACTCAATTAAATTACAGCCCATTTCAACATTATAATAAATTCACTACTAGGTGTACAAATCTGCGACAAATCTTTATAGCTAAAGCACACAAAAAAATTAGGATGAATTAAAATGTAATCTTACTAAAGACCAAAATATAAAAAAGTGGTGTGGTTTAATTAAACCACGATGCAAGTGAGATACTTAGTTAGTTAATGTTTATCTGGCTTCTAAAAAGTGGAAAATAAAAAACAATCCTCCTTGGCTGGTTATCAAATCCAGGCCGCCAGCGTGGCAGGCGAGCTTTCTACCACTGAACCACCGACGCTTGTTAACAAGATCTATTTTTTAATTACAATTTAAAAATGTAATCATCATAATTTATTATTGTCCCCACTGCTGGGGCACGGGCCTTCCCTATGTATATGGAATAGGGAGATTGGGCCATGACCCACCACGCGGGCCCAGTGCAGATTGGTTAGTGCTAACGACTGCAGATACAGCCGGAACCAATGGCTTCACGTGCCTTCCGAAGCACGGAGGAGATTGAGATAATAAATTTTGGTTCACCCATCCAATGACCGACCACTGCGAAAGTTGCTTAACTTCAACCATCGCAGCCGAACGCGCTAACCACTTGCACCATCGAGCTCCTCAAAAATATAATGCGACATGCTAAAGGTGAACGAAAATAAAATGTGACGATCTAATAAAAGTTTAACTTAAAAAATCTATCATTTTACAGTTTCGTAAGTCAACAAATCTAACCTTCTTTGAATCCGTATTATGAAACTTAATGAGGTTTCAACTATGTTTGTATAACTTCATAGAAAATGTATGCCATTTGCTTTCCTGTGTGGTCTCACCATTGACCAAACAAGGGGCACGTCGCACGTGGCAAAACTTGGGCAATTAGAACTCTACTTTGTCACAAGATCGATAGCCGTCCGTGTTAAGCATGGTACTCATTAGCGAGCTGTAACCGTACATGCGTGATACAGTACGAGGTTCTAATGTGTACGCTTGTAGCTTAGTTGTAAACTCGTCGGCTCGCTGCAAACCGCACGCGTACGGCTCGCAGCAGGTTAGCGAACCACGTACACACTGTAGCGGCGACATCTACATGCCCCATATATAATGAACGTAGAGGAAATAGTCACTGGCCTCCTTAAGAGATGGCGCTACCGTCGCTGCGTTCACAACATATGGAAGCCTACATCGCGCAAGAGAAGTTCGGAGCCAAACACTCCATATATACAATGCCCGACCAACATCAGATGGGCCGCGGCCCCCGAGCTAACATCACCCAGCTCGGAGGAAGATCTTCCCCTTTGGCCTTCCTACAACACTATGCTTTTTGGTTACAGTGCATGCAACGGTTACGAATACAGCTCGCTAATGAGTACCCGGCTTTAGACGTGATATGTTGACAATCGACGACACATGTAAGTAGACGTGACCGTTATATGGATTCGTACGGAGCCCCATATATTTTGTGAATTTTAGTGTCTGTTCAGTCTATTGACCACTTATATTTGCACTCGGTAATAAGATTATTTTTATAGATAGGTCCGACAGATGACTCCTCTTGATGTTAAGTGTCGGTGAAGTCCAGACGCGATGATAGCTGGTACAGCAGTTCTACCTGCCTCACCAGCCATCCTCACACTGCCGGCCTGCATGTTGCTTCCTCACGCCTCTTTTAAAGAATCCCAGGTTGTAAAAGGGCGGGAACACGCGGAAGGGCAGAGTATTCCATCTACGGATAGTGCGACAAAGAAATGAGTCAAATCCGTTACTAGGTTTTTTTTATATTTGTGACACACAATGATATAAGGTATATAGACACGCTGCTGTAGCAACATGTAATTATAAATATAACTATAATAATAATAAATATTTCTGACACACACCAATTTTCCTAGCCACTGTGGCCTGTGTTATGGGATTCTAAGGTAACGGATAGAATACATATACATCATCATCATTATCACCATCACCCTATTAATATCCCCACTGCTGAAGCACAAGCCTCGTAGACCCAGTGCGGATTGGCGAGTGCTAAAGACTGCAGATGCAGGCGGGACCAACGGCTTAACGTGCCTTCCGAAGCACGGACGAACTCGAGATTGTGCAAAAAAGCAATTTCTCTTTATAGAAAAGCTATTTATTATTTGTTCTTTCAGAATAGTAAAATTTCTGCTAATATTCATATTAAACACTGTTGCAAACCATTGGTACATTATTTTTCATACTGTCAAATAGCCTATTCTGAGGCCCAAGCAAGAATTTTGACAGCTCAATAATCGTATCACGTCGTTAAAGTTTCTATGAAAACCGAAACCTTATCGAATATAAGAACAAAGTAGCTTTTTCTATTCAAAATTTGACGTTGACCATACGATTACGGAACTGTCAAAATTCGTGCTGCGACCTCTGTACCCTTAGCACGAACCAAAATCGAATCCGTAACGTTAGCGAGTCCGAAATGTCATTGTCAAATGTGTGCTGATTTTTAGTTCTCGTTACGTACTTTATGCCGCTGCTGTTCAAGTTTCCATACAAATTTTGACATTGACATTTCGGTATGCAAACTATTCGAAGTCGATAATGGTTCGTGCTAGGGGTACTGTTCATCCGTTCCAACGTGATTCTAATCAAATATCCGAACTTTCACATTCATGATTTCACAGCGTAGAATGTAAATACTTATATAATTTTTAAATCCAATTTAAAAAATCCTCATTGATATGTCCTCAGTTTTTTTTAACTAAATTCAGCTGCTTAAATAAAAATATATTAACTTGGGTAAGTACCCTACACCCAAGTTGATATATTTTTATTTAAGCAGCTGAGTCTAGTTAAAGAAATCTGGTAACCACTTCTTCAGACTTACTTACCTACTCTAATTCTGAAGCAGCCATTATTCATTTTCAAATTTCCCTAAAGGGTTTGAGTTTGTGGTTTGTGCTTACATTAGTTCGACATTTATCCACTTTTCAAGGATTCCAGGGTTTCTTTGAATAGCGCACAAACGTTCACTAGTTGGACATTTCAGTTATTGAAACTCATTAGAACACGTTATTAAAGTTTCTCGTCATGAAACCAACTTTCTCTCCACTTGACAGTGTGGTAAAATTGATAATTAGCCTAGCGTAAAAAGGTACACTGGTATAAATCTCACTTCCGATTTCGGTAGCTGCCATTTCAGACGTTAGTTTGATATACATTACGCCATTACACGGCAGAATGTCGCTATGTCTGTAGAAGCAGCCAATATTAGATATTTGACATTTGTCTGAAATCCGAATAAATGGGATCATAAGTGAGATTGCATCTTACATAATACCTATGCTTGTAGAGCATTAAAGGAGTCGGGAGGTCTCCACTGGATGCGGAAACCGCAGGATCGTAGTATAATCACCTGGGGGGTACGCGGCCATTCGAAGACGGGTTCCGCGACCACACCCGCCCTCTCGGCACGCACTAGGGGGACCGCGGTCCTCATAGTGCGTGTCGGGTGACGGTGCAGGAGTATTGCCTGGATTTTAGTGACCCTGTTCAGGGCGTAGGTAGGGCCCTGTTCACATCAGCGAGCTCCAGGGCTGGCTGAAGGGGACAGGGAAGAGTCCCACATACCTTGACTCAGTGGTTGAATGACGCGTAAGGCATTTTTCAGACACAAAAAAAGGATCGTTGTATAATAGAAATCCCTTGAGGGGGATATGTCCAATATTAGACGTCCAAGCCTATGGACGTCTAATATTGGACATGATGATCACGAAAGAAAATTCTCAAAACAATCGAAAAAGAAAGACAATCATCTTTGGTATACTTTATTGATTAATAACAGCGAATTGCACGTTTTCCATCCATTGACATTTATTACAAGGCCTTTTAACACTTTAAACCTAAAATGTTTGTACAATTATAAAAAATAATCTTTACATATAATATACAAACGGATATACTATTTTACATACATACAAATATCTACTCAAAACATCGGAAAAAGTGTTTCCGTCAATGGGCTCATAGTTATCAACTATAATTGACGTAAATACTTTTTGTTTTAATTAAATAGGTATACACACATTAATTAACTATATTTACAAATTAACAAACGCCTATTTTTGATGTTTTGTTTCTTAAAATACTATTTGCTACATTAATAACGATATTAATCTATAAATATTCAACATTAAACATAGGAACGACAGTCAAGGGTTTGGTATGTTTTTAAACGAACTTAAAAAAGATAGGGTTGTCGAAAGGAAATTTATTATTCTATGAATATAAAGTCCGCTATGGGATGCCAATGCAATTTCTTTTAGGATGAACCATTTCTATGAATAACTCAATTATGATATGAATTTGCATACATTTTCAAACGGTACAGTTAAGTCACTCGTAACTAATGAAACAAAGTACTCGGCCAAGTACTCCCAGCTGAATCTGCCTGAAACAAAGAGAGTTTTGATATATTAATATATTATAATTTATAGAATTATCCGAATATCCTAGCTTTCAGGGAAAGTGTGTCAGTAATTTTGTATTAAAATTATTTAAAAGTATTGCATTAAACATAAATAATAGTTTTCATTGAAAAGGATAGCAGCTTAAATAGGTGGGGTTTGTTTAATTAATCTTAATGTTATTAAGATAACAAAGTAATTACTACTACAGTTGTCCTGCTGTTTCACCCGCATTATTTTTTATCAATTAATGGCATATTTAAGGTTTTATAAAGGAAAAACTATAAACATGTTCAAATAAACAACAATAATTGAAAAACTGTAAGAGTTACACTTAAAAGTTTTAGACAAAAATTTTAGGGAATTCAGTAATAAACAAAAAAGCGTTTTACAATTTTTCCGTAAAGCCAATAATTTCGGAGATATAGCGATAAACGCGTTTTCCAATAAGGCGGCCTGTTATGACTTCCCTACGTTCTCCGATTTTTAAACCTTCTTATGACTTACCCTAACAACTGTAAAAAAAACTAGAGTCCCGCAAAATTTTGCATTACGATCAAGAATAACGGCGACCTCTGTCTCTTGTGATCATATATCTTATCGTTTACGCAACACACCCAACAGAAGCTCAAATATTTTTACAGCTTTTGCAACATATTTTAATGGTGCTCCTACGGCCTTCCTCAATATAAGCACAATCCAAAACAAAAATATTTTTTCAAATGGAATCGGTGTGTGAGTGATAGTACTAGTGTTTCGGAATGCGAACATTCAATCAGTGTACCGACACTGTTTCTCATCAAATATTTTTCAATGTTTACGTCACAAACATCTACTGAACTTATTTATAGCGAGTAGCAGTTAGTACGAAAAAGTTTTTTTATAGGAAGATAGGCAAATGACTCTACCCCACCTGATGTGAAGTGGTGATAAAGTCCAGACGCGAAGATAGCTGGTGCAGCAGTTATAAGCTGCCAAATCAACCATCCTCACCGTGCATGCCTGTAATAGAATATAGGAAAGAGGGAGTACGTGCACCGGCAAAGAATTCCACTTGCGAATAATACGACAAAGAAATAAGTCACCATATTTCTTTGTTTGAGTTGGAGTAGTGGCCCTAGTAAGTGCGCGTGGTTCTCTGAAGGAAAGGGGAAGGTGGGATAAGGGAGAATAACTCGTCAGAACTTTTTGAGCTAGATTAATTATACAATGTGTTACTATTTATTAGTTTTGTTTTCACGCACGCCTTTGTTTAGCATATTTTATTTTATACTAATTTTATAATACTTTGTACATATTATCGCCGCCTTTGTTATTGACAAAGAGCTTAGTTTATTATACTTTAGTGTCTTTGTATTCATGGACAATCTATTTGATTAAGAATTCCATTCGTATCAAAATACGTATTGGCGATCTAGATGGTCGATAAAATGAATAAACGTAAGCAAACAATTAAGCTAATTATAGAAATAAATAACTTTAATAAAGATATTTCTCATATCTAAGGAAAATAGGAATTAAATTTCTAATCCACCGCCTAGGTTGATATGTTGACTAATCACTCATTAGTCCGTTAATAACTAAGGCTAAGAATGTGCAGCGCGATTTCCACCCGCGCCCGCTGAAAAAGTTTTATTTCGCAATATTAGTGGCGACCGTGACATAAATAAATTGAAACATTGGAAATAAATATTTGAAATGGATTCCTTAAAGCGAAAACGCACGCAGCAAAGACGCGAATTCACTTTTGTGGCAAACGCATTTCAAACGGCGGTTCATTCCAATGATGAGGATGAAATAGAAAACGCCATTATGGTGCTCTCTGAAACTGCCGATAAATTGTTCGCAACTGAAACGGCCGTAAGAGATATGTGGTGTGAAAGCGAAGATTTCGACGAAGCTGTTTTTGAGACTGACCAATATAAAAGCTTAGAGTACCGGCAGAGATGGCTAAACGTACAAAATAGATACAGGAAACTGGTAAAACCATCAATAAGCGACGACGGCTCTACAGTCAAGTCAGTACATGAGGGTTATGAAGGTACGTCCAAAAGACGCATTAATATACCAAAATTGGACCTAGTCAAGTTTGACGGCAACGTAAAAAATTGGCTACTCTTCTGGGGTCAGTTTAAAAGGATCCACGAGGATGCTGACCTGGACGACATAGACAAGTTCCAATTTTTAATGCAATCAACCACAGTTATTTCATGTGCTCGCCAATTAGTTAAGACATATCCGCCTTCCGGTGAAAACTATTATAAGGCTATAGAAGCGCTTAAGGCACGTTTTTCTCGTGACGATGTTTTGATCCAAACCTATGTGCGAGGTTTACTCAATCTAGTTCTTATGAGACAAAGGGGCCAAACAAGTGACTTAACGTCACTTTATGATAATCTCCAAACGCACTTGCAAGCTTTAGAGACGCTTGGAGTCGCCAAAGATAAGTATGCGTCAGTTTTGTTTCCCATGACTGAATCTGCTCTGCCGGAAGACATTCTGAGAACATGGAATCGGATACGGGCACAAAACGTACAAAAGGCGACGATCTAAGTAAATAAATTGATTTTCTGAGACAAGAAATGGAGTCTGAGGAAAGAGTTCACATGACACGCGATGGCTTCATCAGCTACGATACTCCAACGGGTTTGAACCAGCCGACTGCTTGTTTAATGTCAAATTTAGAAACTGAGAATAAAAAATATAAAAAGTCAAAGCTGATATCTTGCATTTGGTGTGACAAATAAAACCACGTTAGCTCTGAGTGTCATTAACCAGTGCATCGCAGGAAACAAGTTTTATTTCGCAAGAGTCTCCTAAGTTTTAAAATAAAACAGCTCTACGGCCGCCTGCGGTGGGTACGTGAAAGGACCGCTACGTGAGTTCTTAGCCTAAGGTAGGTTCTCAGCCGCATATAGTAGTAAAAGAATTGGCACATTATTGGCCACATGCCCATCATCCTGTTTACTGTCTTATTGTTTCTGATATAGGCAGTTTTGTGTAGGTAAGTACCTTGTGTTTGCATGTGAATGTCAAAGCCGGTGATTAATGAGAGCATTATTTATGCCGCGTCTATCTACGTTCCGTGAACAGTGATAACTTTATTTGCGTATTGGATTAATGATGATTAAAACTTCGTTACTTATTACAGAGACTGATCGTAATTTTTCTTGCCGCATATTTGATGGATATTGCCTTTGATTATTTCCATAGGGTATTCTTGAATTTGTTTCAAAGAAAATCAACTAGAACATCGAATATTTATATCTTTGATTAAATAACGCCTAGACAGAGCAATCCAATAAAGTTCACAAACAAAACGGCTCATGTTACGCGCATGTGTGAGTGACTCTAATGTGAGATTGATTTAAAGCAGTCAATGTGTGCATGTGTAGCGACGTGCGTATCTACCATATTTTATGTAAGTAGTAGATATTTATTTCGGCGCTTCCGTGTAGATAATACTGTATCTAGGCGTACATACAATCAAATATTAATATATTTATGACAGTTATATTTTTATTTTATAAACATTTAACTGCTATAAGTTTAAATCTACAGAAAATTTCACTAGAAAGAAAAATCTCTATCTAGGCGAATGCACTGACTATTAAACTACCGCGGCCCTGATGGCCGTATCGAATTTTCTCTAGTTTTCTTAACCTACAAGGCAGCGTCATTTCTTCGCATTGTAGGTAAAATGAATACCTTACAAGTATTGAACATTTGAAAGAAGAAATAACAATTATAAAGAAATCTTTACTAGAAAAATTCACACACAAGAAAGCAGATGGTACTCGCATCCGGGCGAATGCACTGACCATGGCCGGGTCGAATTTTCTCTAGTGTAATCTTTATGACAATTACAATTATGTCATTGTTATGTTTGTTTTAGTCTATCTGGACATTATAAAAAGTTGTTAGTCACATGCCACCGCGTCTGTTTGTTTTTAATGATCTCAAAAAGTACTAAGCGCATTTACAATGGTGTTTTCGCCCAAGCAAAAAAACTCATGAACAAAAACATAGTCTACACCCACGCGAAGCGAAGAGGGTCATCAGTTTCATATATTTTGTGCCAAACACCGACACCACTGCAACACGCAGAAGGGCTCCCACACATAACTACGAATTCGCATCGCACTACAAATATTTTAGATTTGAACGGCATCGCGCATTCTTTCGATGTTACATACACTGGGCGACAACATTTTAGTTAATTCTGAGTCTGCGTAAGGGAAAGACGCCCCGGTGGCGCCGTCATTGTGTATGGAGGTGATAAACTCTAAAGCTCTTGAAATAAAGATATACTCAATTTCTTTAACAATACAATAAACTCAAAAGCTCTTCAAGTGAAGATATACGCAAAAACAGTCTTCTGTTCTTAAACCGTATTTCTTTTATTTATTGTTATATTTATTCTTTAATAGTATTCTCGAGTAAAAAAGTTACCATTAGCGTTCATAATCGTAATAAATGGATCTACCCGAAAGCTTCTTTTTCTTTTATAACTATTTAACAATAACCACAGTACAATGATCTTTTTGCGATCCATGTCATTCCTTAAAATACGTCCAATACGTCTGACTACGTTAAAAGTACCTGAACTATGGTTTTGCCGCACGAAAAAAACAACAATTTGCATCGCTATTTACTGCGATGCGGCGTCGCGTCGTATCGCATCAAATCGCGGTTTTGTGTGGGATAGGTAATGTTTCATGGAGTATCTATATGTCAATTGGTATTTCACATAAATTTTATTTGACTATTGTTTTCATATATGAAATGAAGATATGAACCATTCTAGGTCAAATGTGAATCGAAAGAATTTGATGAGTATGAAAAATATTATAAGTTCGAGTGAGCAACAAACATAATAACGTTTTCATATTTTGCGCTATTTACTATTCCATTAGATATTGTTTTCTGTATTTGAAGCTCTATCTTATATGAGATGATATTAGTTTTATCAAAAATCTACTAAACTAAAATCTTATATCGTATTTTCGCTCCGTTGTGTTGTCAATCAATTTCCTTTTACTCAAAACGCATAGAACCACGAAATTAAAATTAGCTTCTAATTCAATGCAATCAACAAACGCATATTATCACTTATCACCCATTCGATTCAAATATTATTTTTTTCAAGTTTGAGCCTAAAATGATGACGTAAAGTGATAAAACTCAATATCATTTATTTCTCGGAAACTAATAAAACTCGAATTATCAGTTAAATCAGAGAGACCGTAGTACATCAATATATGTGAAGATCTTTTTTTTCAATTATGAATGTTTGTTTAGTCATAATTTTATTTATAATAATATTTACTTTTATGTAATATTAGTACCACAGAAAAAGAACCGAATTGAAGAGTGTGGAAGCCCTGAGACAACGTAGGAATGGGGGACCCTATTTTAAAATCTGGCACCCTGAGCTCTTATGAATTGCTAAAAATATTTATTAATACCTGACGTTTCGCACCGTTATCGAGTCTCTTACAGTAACAAGTATTATGAAATGCCAGAACTAAATTTTAATAAATACGCCTTATAATCGGCGTGTTTAAAATAATTCAAATAGGTGGGATTATAAGAGAACTTTTTAAACTAGCTACGCGTTTGTACTAAACTAAGTTAATAATAATTTTAACGTATACAATGATGTCGATTCTGGCATGATTCTCTAAAGCTAAACTTAAATTTGACAACAATGCATCCTTTTCATTCTCTATACAGAATAAAAAGGAGAGACTGATGTTAAATTTAGTTTTAAGTTTAGAGAATCACGCCAGAATCGACACCATTGTGTTACCTGAGCAAATACTCACCATTACAGCTATAGAGCAGACACGATGGGTTCCTTATCCGAAGATAGAACAGTTTTATCTACAAACATATACATATTTACGCAGTCTTCATTAGGACTCGGATCGCCTTCTGGTTTCTCATCCGGACTTATATTTTCAATGCCTTCGTCGTCAAAGCCTTTCATTTGATCATTGAACTCTATTTTGTATCTAACGGATGGTAATTTATTTACAGTCGAAGTCAATAACGATTCTTGAACGGTTTCATTACCGTTGCAGGTCTTCTCCGAGCGAAAAGCGCCGGTACGTTCTGATTGGTTGAATTTCCTTTTTGATTTCTTCGTCACTAAAGCCCCTAAGCATGGTAAGATTTGTTTGAACTCCTTGCGGAAATTCTCATTCAACCAAGCGTACAAAAACGGGTTGTAACAAGTGGAAGACATAGCTATGAAATGCGCAACAAAAAACAATACCATATAATATGTCCAGTCTTCAGCTAATGAGTAGAAATCACTACTAATATTAATAAGATTCAACGGTAGCCAGGACAGGCCAAATATGGCGACCATTGCTATAAGCATTCTGTTCGTTCTCCTCTTTCTTTCCCTTTCTGCGTCTTCCTTTTTACTGTTCTTGCTTCCTGGCCTGGATTTCAGTCGATCATTAAGTTTTATACTGACGCATGTATAACAAAACGCCATGACAATAAAGGGAACAACAAATTGCATAATAGTAGTAACAGCCCCGAAAGCCTTACGTATTTGGTCACTTGGCCATTCCTCTGCGCAATAGACGTCTTGCAAAGCCATGTAATACCCATAAGGAAAAGTGACGGTCAAAGCAAAAACCCATATGAATATAATCAAACCGATGCAAGTTTTTAGTTTCATGCGGGGTTTGAATGGATAAATGATGACGAAGAACCTGTCGATAGCGATGGAAGTGAGAGTGAGCGTTGAAATATATACGCTACACCCTTGGGCATACGGCATAATGTGGCATAGTAGTCCGCCAAACACCCATCTACCAAGGAAAGTGTAAAGAGGCGTAAAAGGTACTGCAAACACACATAATAATATGTCCGATAATGCCAGGTTCGTGATGAATAGATTAGTGACAGTTTGCATTGCCCGATTTCTTATAACGGCGTAGCATACTAATGCGTTACCGAATATTCCTACGACAAAAATGATTGTATACGCCACACAGAAAGCGGCTTGGATGGCTTTATCCTCGATCGGGTCCGTTGTGTTGGTGTAGTTATTTTTGCTGAAAGCGCTAAAACTGTCATTGTACAACGGTTCGTCTGTGGCCCATGTTTCGGTCGGCATAATTTTGCTGTATTTTTAACTTGGCATCATAAACCAACCGACAGGTTCATTGATATCATGTCTGCCCGAGTGTTGTATTCGATGGTTCGCTCTGTGATTGGTGAGCTCGCGTCTCATAGTGTTTGTTATTCTAATTTTATATTAGATTTTTAAATGATAAAACTGATGTCATTTAACCAAAAATATGTGATGCTCCATGATTTTCTTGTTCTGGTTTCCTAGACTTGTTGGTAGTTTGCTTCAAGTAGATCTGAAACAAAAGAAAATCAATTTAATTTATCATCATCATCCTATTATTGTCCCCATTGCTGGGGCTCCGGCCTCACCCTTAAGCAGGGTAAGTGCGGATTGGTGGGTACTAACGACTACAAATGCACTGAGACCAACGGCTTGACATGCCTTCTGAAGTACGGAGTAGTTCGAGATAATAAATTTTTGGTCACCCATCCAATGACCAACCATTGTTAAAGTTGCTTATCTTTCACGATCGCAGGCCTAACGCACTAATCGCCTGCGCCATCGAGCTCCTCAGTTTATTTTATTATTTGATAAGTATGATTTACTTATCGTCTTGGTAAAGAGCATGAGGCAAGTTTACTTAAAGTTATATATTCAAACATTTTGACTGAAATATTTTCTTAGAGAAAATTTCCCAGAAATCATTGACAACGCAAGCATACTGTACGAACTATAATGAGGTTTGTGTTCGACTTAAATATGATTTTTTCACCTGTAGCGTACAAAAATTTGATCGGACAGAAGACACCGTCTCGCATAGTTTAATAATAAATTAATTATATCGTGCATCCACTCTCTTTTGTTTTCTTAATAAAAACAAAGCTGTTTTTGATGACGATGAGGAAACATAATATGAAACATAATATTCTGTTAATGGCACTTTCCAAAAACTAAATGAAAATAATGAACCCACTCGCACTCGTGAAGACTGTCAGTTGTCGTTCGTATCGCGTTTCGCTTGTCTTTATTTTTCATAGGGCCTGTTTCACAGTCGATAAGTAAAGTTCTGGACTTTTTGGCGAGATCGGGTAGTGTCACTTTAGCAGTTTTGTTTTTCTTGTTAAAAATTGTGTTGTGGCGGATGTTAGTGTTTAATAATGGTGGATTATTAACCACTAAGTGTTCGGGAACATGCACAAGGGTTGGCAAGTGAAACAAAATAGCGGAAAGTGTCTTTCGACGTAACCTCAAGAAGTCCACGAGGAGGTTCCAGTAAATCCCCACACATTTACTGAAACATAGGGAAAGGGGGTTTGACTTGACTGCCACTTACTTTGACTTGATTTATTACACTCGTGGAGTGCTATAGAATTTGTCAACATTTTAACACTTGACATTGGCTAAATGCACAAGCCGTGCAAAGCCATTTAGAAAAAAAAATGTAAAGTTCTGTGTAAGCTACTGAACATAAGGCACAGCGCACACCGGAAGAGGCGCGGCGAAGATACTAAGAAGTTTAAAATTTTATTTAAACCCAAATTCCTATATCATAAGTGTTGTGAACTATTTACTATATAACTTTTTGTATGTGTAATATTTTATATGTCACTGTTTTGTAAGTTTATTTAAAAAAATAATATAGTTGTTTGTGATTGTGTCAAGTTCGCTCGTTTTATTTCTAATTACCCATTTTTAAGATAATTACTATTACTTTTCATTAAGTTTTACAGTCCTTCATTAAAAATAAGTTTAAAAATTTACGCAAGCGGTCACGAGAGGCGTGGATCTGGATCGCGCTCAAAGTACCCGCTCGCCGCTTCGTAGCTCTTGGCCGCGCTCGATGTCGCCGCGTATAGCAAACCCAATAATATTATAGTATAGCGTGGTGTGAACGTGTTCGATGGAAACGTATGTATGGTGCGCAGTATCGTACTGTGAATTATAAGCTAATGAACAATGCGTTTCAAAATTATTTAAATGAGTAAAATCTTATTCTAAAGTAGTGTCAACTTAATGTGTAAACAAGGAAGAAACACAATTCTAATGATTATCTTAATTTCGAATTATCCATCTCCATCCATCCATCCAAATTTTTTTTCAAGCAGGGCGTCCCCCCCCCCTCGTCTAAAAGCTAAACTATTGCCTAGAAAAACCTGGAAAAATTCAAGATAATGGTGCTTTTCTTTAACTTTTAAGAAAAACTATAACCGTTAAAATAGATTTTTTAGGTATAGAGTAATAGAAGATTTGTTTGTTTAAGAGTAATAGTCGATCAACTAAGGTTAAAAAATCTTACCTATTAAAATTCCTTAGAAGAAAACATTAATAGTGACATAGATGAAGTTATCGTAGCGTAAAACCTTGCATTGCAAAAATATAAAAAAATAATTAAAAACTACAATAACGCGTACCAACGGCAACGGGCTTCTGCGTCGCGATAACGTAACTTTTTAATAAACTTGAAAAGATCGGAAGTTATATCGCATCATCCCCTTCTCAGGGAATGATCGCTTCAGATGAAGCTTGTAAGACCCTTCTGGCCATTAACATGAACTACGGGTGCGTTTTACTCAGTAAGAGTCTGACATAACCTTGCAGCCGGCTGTATGTGGAATATCCATGTGGAATTCACACCCGCTCCCCCGACTGGAGGAAACAAAAAAATAGGCTGTTAACATACTGGCTCCTCCCGGCTCAAATATATTGTGGTAAGTACAGACAACTACGGAACCCTACACTGTGCGTGGCACGACACGCACTTGGCCGGTTTTTTATGAAATGAAGATAGTCTGATACTTATAATTTATTTAGAATTTGTCTGTAGTTTTCTAAGACGCGTACGTTTCCACTACTAATTAACACCAATTGAAAATGACTTTTCTTTAGAAATCTCTTAATTACAACTTTAGAAAAATATTAATCTCAATAAAATCATTTTCATTTTTAATTATCATTAATATATCATAATTAAATGAAATCAGACTTCCAAGGTGTCAAGTGACCCGATTTATTAGTAGCCCAGTGTATATGTATTTCTATCCGTTGTACTAGTATCTCATAACGCATGCCTTACAGTACTTATTTTGCGACTGGATTAATTGGTGTGAGTGTTAGAAATGTTTATTTATTTATTTTGTTGTCTGAAACGCACGTGGCCGTCTAACGAACACCTATGTTTTGTTATTCTGGTGTAGATTATTATATTTCAACAAAAACAATGATTATTTCATCTCGTTCATTTACTTTGTGTATTTTCGAGAACATTTTAATTACAGTTAATGGTGCGGTATCCAATTTCCTTATTTAAAAATTTACGTTATGAATAACGATTAAAAGAAAAAAAACAATTAGATTAATAACATCCATATTAAAATTTATTATTATACTTTTTGAATTAAACATTCGTGAAATGTAATGTAACATGTATGAAATGTAATGTTACATGTATGAAATGTAATGTAACATGTGTGAAATGTAACAAACATTTCAGTTCAAAAATTCTGCTCACATATGAGAATCTTGATGTTGAATTAGGTACCAGACGATTCTGACGAAACTAACCGCTTAAAATTACGCTTATTTCTCTTGAATAAAATAAATCACACATCCGTCGCTGTTCTAAAACACGATAAAGAATTGTTTTTTCTTTCACAGAAGACCCAAAACAGCACTAGGTGGCTCTACGGTTCGCAAGTTGCTAAATTGCTTATTGAATAGACTTTGCCAGGCTTAACGGCTTAACGTGCCTTCCAAAAGAGGAATGAACCGATACAATCAACTTTTGGCCATTTAGCTGAGTTAGTTATTTAAGCAACTGTTGTATAATGAGGGGTATTATAACACGAATGTGGGTTTATTATTATGATAATAGTATCACATGATGATTTTAATACCTAATTATAAATAGTTGCGTACAAGACTTTATCTACACTCATGTCAAAATATTCGAATTACGAATTTAAAGATCGTTTTTTAATTATAAAGGTGTACTTTATAAACGCACTTACATTAAATTAAACTCATTACATTACTGCTAGCTGTATTGTAATGTAACTTTTTAATCGTTATAGTTTATGTCACGTTTATGTTTTAATTTATTAAATTTCGGCTATGATAGTAGGCTGAATGTGAAAAAAGGCGCACTCATTAGAAGTTTGAATTTGAGATCAAGCGCTTCTTTACAATTTTCTGCCGATCGTGTTTTGTTTTCGGGTTTGAAAAATAGTTTTGCAAAATACTTCCTTGTTAGCTATCAATATTTTATTTTTATATTAAAATTTTCCTGTGAGTGAAGATAGAGTAGTGTGCATTGGAACTGCATATAATTTAGGTAATAAAACACAAGATTCAACCTATCATCGCTTATGAACAGATTCTCGTGTTTAAAAACCCCTTCTTATATGACAGTCGCATATACTACAATTATCTACATCCATATATGAAACCTCTATAAAAGACTGAAATCATGGGGCGTTCTGAGAAGCTAAAATTCTTTAAAGTAGTCGGTGCTGTGGTAGTAAAACGCGCGTAAGTAAAAATGTTCTTCTTTTTAAATTCAACAGATTCCACCACAGTACAGAATGAAAATCTGTTCTGTGGTGATAATCTCCATCAATATTTGTTAATAAAAATTTCCTCTCGAGTAAGAAATTAAGGATACAAAAGTGCGAAAAACTTTTCGGAAATTCAAATATTTTGAAACGCGACAAGAGCGGTTGTGACATTAGACCAGGGTCGATAATTTTTGAGACCAAAGAAAATTATAGTAGCATGAAACCCATTAGAAAAGGTAGAGAATATAACAAAAATGAAAGGAAAAATAAATTACGGGCGATCTGAGGTCGAGAAGGGGGGGGGGGGGTGAGTTTTTAAGGGTAAAAAATGGTTAATCTCGATTTCCGGTAAAACTGCAAGTCCTATGAAAAAAAGTTAAATGACAAAGTTGTAGGTAATAAAAAGATCTACAACTTTTGTATCGACACTTTTTTCACATAACCTCAAAATTTATGTGAAAAATGCGAATAACCGAGTTTTTGGTTTTTGATTTTTATTTTTTGCAAAAAAAAATATTTTTTCACGTAATTTGGTGAAAACTTACCTTTGTATGTCCCAAACATACAGTAATTTTTTTGATTTAAAATATTCATTTTTTCACCTTATTTTGACTTAATATCGAAAAAGCACCCTAATTTTCAATCGAAAATTCTCACATCAAAATATCTGCTTTTTAAAAAAAGTTGGGGTGTTTTTTGTTTGTTGAAATCTCTACTTTCTGATGGTTTAAAAAATACA